TCCGAAAGCGATATCAACGATTGGACACGGGCTGGTATTACATCCGGCTCTGACGAGCATGAAATCGCTTCGAAGACGATACGCCGACCTGAAGGCGATAGATCCTGACGTGCTGCAACAGCCTCTATCAACATTGACCCACTTCGTCGAGCGTTCGGCGAGTCCGGATTGTGGATGAGGTAGGAACCAGCCTCCCATAGCGCAACAGATTGGTCTGAAGTAAACCACTGCAGGGATCTGGAGACATGCTCCGCCTCGTCGATGGCATGAGCTAGATTTTGTGTCTGCGACAGATTCCTGAGAGATGTTTCGAAATCCGGGGCACCGGGAGTGTCCGAGGAACTGGAAACAACGCTACCACGATGCATTGATTCGAATCCGAGTACGAGGGAATTGTTTCTCCGCCCATCCGTCGTATGCGACAAGGAATGACTGCTGTCCTGCAGCGAAAGTGGGGATTGCGATCTGGAACGGGCGACACCTAGCGTTTTGAAGACGTCCACAAAACTTGCAGCGGTACTTTTATAAGGAGATGGTAACGGAACTTCATCGGGAGACATGCGTCCTCAAGGACGGGAGGTATATACAAGGTCTAGGCCGAGAGGTTATATATCTAGGACACCGATTGATCAGCATGGACAAGAATATGACAAGGTTTCATGCAATACATGGGTTCGCCTTGTTTGCAATAGCTCAAAGCCGTGTCATAGGAGATCCACATACCCTTCCTAAGGAGTTCTAAGTCAGGTGTTCACAACATCAGGAGGCTGAAAGGTAATACAAAGCTTCATCCAGATATGACAGCTGTAGCGGCAATGACGGATGTCTCCAAAAGATAAAGCTGACTCTTTAAAATAGACAAGAACACTGTTTATTCTCAGACTTCAACTAAAACACCAGCCACAGGAACAAGGAGACACCCCTGAACAGACTTTTTTGAGCACAGCCAGAAGCAATGATATCACGTTCCCATTCAAGCAAAAGTGTGCCAAGACACCTTTCCCCTCAAAAGGATCGATGATGAACATGCTCTGGCGGAGATGGAAAAGGTTAATCCGTTCTATCACCTGATGGGCAGAAACACCCCGCCATCAGTGCTGACCGCCTTGTAAATTCCCAAAGCAACCAAAGCAACCGCTAAACAAACTGCCTCATATGAACTAAGCTCTGACAGCTTTGAGAAGGGCATTTTTTTTTGTACAGACAGGCTAGAGGAATCCCCTGCCCGCACCAAAATATTCAGACTTTTTCTTCTGTCCCCTTTTCTTAAATTCTTATCGTTTGAAAGATTGTCACCCTTTTTTCTACGTGTACTCTACCATAATTACACCCCGCTTATCGAAAAATGGCTGCGGATCTCGGAGCTGTTGCCCAGCTCCTTGAAGCAAGCTTGGACCCAAGGCAAAACAAACAAGGTATGGGAAAATTAGGCTTTTCTGACTTGTATGTATATTCTGCGATGGATTGTCTGATATTTTTGCAGCTGAGGCTACTCTTCGTCAGGAGGAACAGAAACCCGGCTTTTCTTTGCAGCTCCTCCAGATCACGGCATCTACTTCGTACCCCTACAACACCCGCCTCGCCAGTGCTCTATGCTTTAAGAACTTCATTAAGCGAAACTGGACTGATGAGGATGGAAACTACAAACTCCAGCTGGACGAGGTCGCAACGATCAAGCGGGAGCTGATCAGCTTGATGATTTCTGTTCCGGCAGGTATCCAGTCCCAGCTTGGTGAAGCCGTCAGCGTGATTGCCGACAGTGACTTCTGGGAGCGATGGGACACACTTGTAGATGTGAGTAGTACAATCAGTTTCTTGGTCGCCCTGTAGTTGTACTGACTCTTCCTAGGATCTTGTTTCAAGACTCCAGCCAAAGAACCCCGCCGCCAATATCGGGGTACTACAAGTCGCACATTCAATCTTCAAAAGATGGAGGCCCTTGTTCCAGTCAAATGAGCTGTATACAGAGATCAACCACGTCCTAAACAAATTTGGGAACCCATTTTTAGCTCTCTTTGAGGTAAAGCTCCTCCTCTCATCGCTCACACGGCAATTACCATCGTGGCACCATGATTACGTGACCATTTGCTGATTCTGATTAGGGCTTGGATTCGTTCCTCGAGGAGAACAAGTCGAACAAGGAAAATCTCATCCAGGGGTTTACACAATTCAATCTGATGGTGAAATTGCTGTTCGACCTCTCTTGCCACGATCTTCCTCCCATGTTTGAGGAAAACATCTCAGGGATAGCTTCGCTTTTGCTTAAATATTTGACATATGACAATGCCTTGCTTCACACAGACGACGACACTGAGGCCGGCCAATTAGAGTTCGTGCGGGCTGGGATTTTTGAGGCTCTGACGCTCTATGTGCAGAAGTACATGGACGTATTCAGTTCCCATGTTGGTCAATTTGTGCAGAGCTCGTGGAGTTTCTTGACCACAATTGGGCAAGAAACAAAATATGACATTCTCGTCAGCAAAGCGCTTCAATTTTTGACTTCAGTTGCGGGTATGCCGGAACATGCATCGGTCTTCCAGGCAGAAGAGACCCTTGCCCAAATCGTCGAGAAAGTGGTCCTACCTAACGTGAGTCTGCGTGAGTCAGATGAGGAGCTTTTTGAAGATGAGCCTATTGAATTTATCCGGCGGGATCTTGAAGGATCGGATAGCGAAACAAGACGACGGGCAGCCACAGACTTCTTGAGACGGCTGGCAGAGCAATTCGAGGGGCCAGTTACTAAGGTCGTTCTCAGATACAGCGACCACTATCTTGCTGAATATGCGAAGAGCCCTGCCACGAATTGGAAGGCTAAGGACACTGCAGTTTATCTGTTCTCTGCAATTGCGGCCAAGGGAGTCCCCACAGCAAGCCACGGTGTCACTGCGACCAACCCCCTTGTCAGCATCACCGACTTCTTCCAAAAGAACCTCGCTGCGGACCTGGTTGTCGATGAAAGTGCCCACCCTATCCTCAAGGTCGATGCAATCAAGTACCTTTACCTCTTCCGCAGTATCATCACGAAAGACCAGTGGCAAGAAATTCTTCCTTTGCTGGTCAAGCATCTCGGTTCTCCGAACTTTGTTGTCTATACTTATGCAGCTATCGCCGTCGAAAGAGTGCTTTACCTTGCAGACAGCCAAGGTCAACCGATTATTGCTCCCGCCAGTGTCACTCCTCTAGCGAAAGATCTTTTGCAGCACATTTTCTCATTGATCCAGAAGGACGCTGCCCCTGAGAAGGTGCAGGAGAATGAGTTCCTGATGAGATGTGCCATGAGAGTCCTGATTGTTATCAAAGAAGACGTGGTTCCATATACAGACATTGTTCTTCAACATCTCATTAACATCACTGATGTTATCAGTAAAAATCCGAGCAACCCCCGCTTCTATTATTTCCACTTCGAAGCGATGGGCGCATTCATTAGGTACGAGGATCATTCTTCGCTCATTTCTCGACTTAGAGAACTAACACATCCAGATTCGCTGCACCGGCCAATTCAGAGAAGCTCGAACAAGCGCTCTACCCACCTTTCGCAAATATCCTTCAGGGCGACGTTCAAGGTATGGAAAAATCAGAAAGGGACAGGAGGCTAGGGGACATGCTTGAGTGCTAACATGTGCGCAGAATTCATGCCATACGTCTTCCAGCTCTTCGCGGCTCTTTTGGAAGCCAACCCTTCGGGGTCCCTGCCCAACTACTACCAAAACCTGATCGCTCCCATCCTCATGCCTGTTATGTGGGAGTCAAAAGGCAACATTCCTGCCCTTGTCCGTCTACTGTCTTCTATTATCCCTCGTGGCTCTCAGTTCATCTTGGAAAACCAGCAACTGGTCCCAATCCTTGGTATCTTTCAGAAATTGCTTTCCACCAAAGCCAATGAAGGCTTTGGATTTGACCTTTTGGAGAGTGTCGTCGCAAACTTCCCACCGTAAGTGGATAACGGGACGATCGATGTTGTCTATTATATACTGACGCCTTCTTCTAGCTCGGCATTGGAGCAGTATTTCGTCTCTATCATGCAGGTCATTCTTACTCGCCTTCAAAACTCCAAGACCGAGCATCTCACTCTCAGATTTGTCCGCTTCTATCACTTCATCTCCGCTCATGACGACAAGGGCTATAGTGCAGATTACTTTATCCAGGCCACAGATAAAGTCCAAGCAGAGTATGTCAAGATGATTGTGTGCATGGCGATTTCTAACATAGACTGACAAACAACAGCCTTTTCACCCCCATCTATCTCAACATCATTCTCCCTGAAACGCAGAAACTCGCACGTCCATTGGACCGCAAGACTGCCGTGCTGTCTTTCACAAAGACCCTTGCAAACTCAGAAGCATTTGCAAATCGATACAAGAAGGGATGGGGCTTCACATGTGAGGCTTTATTGAAGTTGTTGGAGCTTCCCCCTCTTCCCGCCAGCAAGGATGACATCATTGCTGAACATGATATTGAGGATATGGCTTTCGGAGTGGGTTTCACAGCGCTGAACACTGTGCGACCACAACCCAGGGACCCATGGCCGGACACAGGCGCTGACCTCAAGGCTTGGGTTGGCAGATATTTGAAGGAGGCCGACAAGAAACATAATGGACGGGTCTCTGCGTGCGTACAAGAGCGCCTGGGAGCCGAGGCGCGGACAGTGTTGAGCAGCTACATCGCATGAGCGGTAGCAGAAGATGTGCATGGTCTGCATTCGACGCCCAAGTCGACAAGAAAAGTGACAACCAACACATTCATGCCTTTTATGACAATTTTCCCAGATAATTCTTAGAGTTCCCAGCTTGTCTCATGTACTTGTGCATAGAGTCCACAAAATCATCTTTGACTTACACGGGAGACGTTCAATTGATCCTTAAGAGTGTCTGTTTTGCCCAGAAGATGAGTGCAAGATCTGACCGGCAGTAGCACAGTGAGACGAAGTGTAGACTGGCTATTTCGCAGTTAGACGGAGAGCCCCGTAGTTACCCTTCGAGAGAAATACAGCAGACGACCGATCATCTGAGCTGCTTCTGTTCAGCAGTGTGGTGATCAGACGTTTCCTCGGTGGTAGAATCTTTAGCACCCAGGCGATCGTCATGCGCCACTCCTTGACCCTCGTCCACTGCGTCATCTTCTAGGTCGACCTCATCCCCATCCTCATGCTCGTCCTGCTGCGCCCCCTTCTCTAACTCCCGATACTTCCGCCGAGTCTTCTTCATCTTGCTCGCCTTCTTCTTGCGTGCGCGCTCAGCCCGAATGGCATTCCGACTCGCATCGCCCTTTAGCAACTCCTCGACTTTATCAGCCAAGATCTGCCGAGCGATTTTCTCATTCTGGGACCGGGAGCGGGTGGCTTGGGATTTCACCACTATACCGGTGGGTTTGTGGATGAGCTGGACGGCGGAGTTCGTCTTGTTCTGTTGGGGTTGTTAGCGAGCGGGCATGACATCAAGGGAGGGTGAACGTAGCGTACGATCTTCTGGCCTCCGGGGCCGGTGCCCTTGAGGTAGGATACCGTCAAGTCGGCATCGTCGATTTTGAGTCGGGGAGGGAGCTGTTTTTCGGAGAGGGACGAGGCGAGGGTGAAGGAGCGGCGGATCGAGGGTGGTGAGTGGATGGCTTTGGGTAAGAGGAAGGTCCTTAGGATGGACAGGCTTTGTTGGAGTGTTGTCGCTGATGCGGGATGTGGCATTGTTTCATTTTGTCTGTCTGTTGAGGTTGATTTGATAGGTAGGTTAGGTCGAGCGGGCGGTCAGTGCTGGATGATTCTGAGAAGCTACGCGTATCTCTCGGTCTATTATTGCTACGTATTGGGCTACCGTGTGTCAATGGCGATATCTTGTTGTGAAAACATGACGTAAACTCCTTCTTTTATACTCTCTGTACACTTTAGAGTAATAAACTCCTTTCATCAGCTTTGTAAGTAAATCTGGTAAGTTTAGCAGAGGACTATCTGATCGAAATAAAAGATTACTTCGCCGGGAGTCTATCATGGTTACGGTATAATATTGGATCTGGTTCTATACCATAGAATCACGACGACGAGAGCTTAGCAAAATACTAATGATGATGACCCTGCGTTGACAACAGCGGTCATCGTGAGAGGGAATAGCTTCGTTTGGATGCTACAGATGCCAAGCAGAAGCTGACGTACGCTCTTATTCGGGTACTCGGTCCTCCGTAGAGAAGTACTCCGTATACGGAGTAGTCCAAAATCCATAAAGTTTATTATCATGCAATCTCGGATCCTCATCGATAATGCATGCCCCTGCATAACTATGTTGACAAATCTGACATATCTGTCATGGCCTGCGCGAACCTAGGTTATGTTCTAGACACATGTCCATGTCCAATTAATTCAAATCCGTACGGAGGACGGAGCACGGAGTAGTAGTACCAAAAAGCCCGGCGATTTGATTTCTATTCTTGTCTTCCCGTCAAAATGATAGCTAGCTAGAGTCCTGGACCCTGAAGTGGAACGAAGTGGGTTAAGTTTCTTTTGCGTAGTTATCGAGACGTTCTGGCTCGGTCTAAGAAAACGTCCTTTTCTCAAGTGGACAACCGAATTACAGTAATATTATCCCAGATGCTCCTTTGAAATATCTAGATTAACGCGTACAATCGTACTTCGTAGTCGTACTCGTATGCCTCATTAAGTAAGGTTGGTGGTGGTTCTTTGTTATGCATCAAACCTACCTCTCCACATGTTGATCTTCTCCCAGTCAACAATTGTCCCCGCACAGCTTGTTCTCTAAATTCCTCAACCTGTTGATCTACTCGATCAGCACTTGTTTACTACACCGGGAGGGTTGATCACTATTCTCAAATCTTGACACCTGTCAGTTATCTTTATCTTCCAAATCGAGCATTCTGACCAATTGATTGACTTTTAATTGAATCTCGCCACTTCAAAGTTAAATCTCCCTTGAACCCCTGAGTGAGTGGAAGTTGTAAACCCTAGCCTTAAGAAATCTCAAGCTACCGCTACTCTGGTAATTTCCACTATTTTCTCCACAGTCAGATAGGCCGACCGCTTGACTACTTTCCCAATCAGATCAGACCAGGAGATAATGGAAGCCTAGAGCAATATTTCTATTGTGAGCTTCTTCGACAAGCAATTCTGTTCTTTTGAAATATCTTGCTTCGTACCCTCGAACAACCTCAAGCAATTGCCCCCCCTATACAGCGCCAAGTCCTCCGATACAAAATCTCTCGCAGAAGTGTGACCACTAAGGGGTACAGACAGGGGACCAAGAAAAAGACACCGTTCATTCATTATAAGTAAAAAATATCAGTCTTCAGTCGTTGACCCCGTTGTCTATCCGCAATTCAATTGTTCAGAGTCAATCAAGTCAAATCGAGGTCAACCATGGCTCCTCTTCTCTGGATAACAACTGCCCTGCTTCGGTGGTTTCGCTTGAAGGTCTATCAATATGAGGTGACTTTCGCCATATATATGCTCACCCCTACCGAAAAATTCATCTTTAGTATGTTGTCTCCCTTTGTCTTGGATGATCGACCTTTGCTGGCTATCTGTCTCTCCAATTGACTAAAATGTTGAGGACGCGTCTGAAGCGCTTGCGTTGTTTGCAATTGCTAAAAATCTGTTTCTCTACAGACTCACTGCTCCTTACCCTCGTCACTATGATCATCACTGGCGTCTACGTCTACCTTCCCGACCATATCAGGTCCATCTACGGACATCTCTATTACTACTGGGCGGGTGAACGCCCGTTCATCTCGACGGGCCTGCCTTCCATCAGCGCGGTATTCCGCGATAATAGCACCAAGACTCTGGAGATGGTTTATGAAACGGTCAAAGACGCTGCCGCAACAGCCACTGGTGCAATCGCTGAATTGTGACCATATCTCGTTCTTGTGCGACCCTGATTACATACTACCTTTATCCTGGCCTCAAGTCGATTCGCATACGCTTCTCAGTACCGTCTCCTCTTGCCCTCCTAGACGACGAGCGTGTCGCTGCTTTCTATTCTTAGCATTCTTGTTATCGGTCTTCTGCATACAAAGGCGTTGTGAAGGGACTCTTCTTTTCCTATCATTCGTTCGAACAAATCACCAGACAAAGGTGGGCGCATACCCTAGGAGTTCTTTTTGCCCTTCTGTGTATCCTTTCAGCTGTTATGTTTATTGAAAACCAGCCTTTTCTTGCCAGGCAGAAATGACATGATACCCAATTGGCACGATTTTTCGATTGCCTATATATCTTTTGCCCGGTTTGGAGAAAGCTTGGTCTGTCAGCAGAGAAGGCGAAGACGCTACGATTTGTCCGATCCAGTGCAGTAAACGAAAAGACAGTCTTGTATGGCAAACCATGTAGAGTCAGCCAATTAATGAGATAAAGCTTTATTGCATAGAAAAAAAGACAAAACTCCCAATATGCCCAGAGAAGAGTGTTATACAAAATGGCAATCATACATCGTACATGTGTCACTGCCACTCTGGCCATTTTGCCATGCCACATGTCCGGCCATTCTGAACGCCGCAGAACGCCCTTATTCCTTTTCTTCTCTTCCATTTTCCAGCTTAGTAGCCTCCGGCCCATAAGACCCAATGTCCTCGTCCGGATAATCGCATCCTAACACGCCCTGGAATATATATCATCCCTTCAGACGAATTTCACTCCGCATTCTCAGCCCGAGCAGCTACTTGCGCCTGCGCCTGCGCCTCCATCGCCTCCTGCTGCAATCGTCGCTTACGCCGGACCGCATCTACCGTCCTCATCCGTGCCAGCTCCCGATCAATCTCTTCCTTCTCGAGCGGGATCTTGTGCGATTGCTCCGCGGTGGGCCAGAACCCCGGTACGCTGAATCGATCGTCGAGATTTGTGCCGAAGTAGTACATCCAGCCGATGGGAAAGATGACATACATGCCGAACTATGGAAGCGGGTTAATGGGGTCTGGCTCAGTGGGAAATACAGGGGGCCGCGTCCTTTTGTGGAAGCGAACGCGAGGGAGGTGGGTATGTACCTTGAAGACTTCGAGGTTGCCCCCTTGTAATCTGCGCAGGATGGCCGACATTGTGAGTTGATGTGATGGAATGGGGTTCTGTTCGAAGAGGTGTGCGGTCCGGAGACGCGGTGTCTGATAGAGGAAATGAATTGTATGCTCCGTTTTCGGTATTGCAAAGCAGTCTCTTTTCTGTGCTAATTGCTAATTCGACGAGCAGTGACACATGTGGCGTTCTTCTCGTGCATTGGACTTGATATCAGAGTCCGCGGACTTCCATCGGCCCACCAGTGTCACGGAACTTTTGGTGAGAGGAAGCTTAGCGGTTCCTGCAAACAGGACAAACAGAGCCACGTGTCGGTCACCTGACCTGCAATGTATCTCCCAGCGAGCCTCGGCTGGCAGCTCGGACCGTCGGCCTCCCCGCAATAATGAGAGGCGGTTTGGTGCTCCTGCTCCATTGCCGTTGAGGAATGAGGACGTGAGGATAGCCGGATCCTCAGGGAGCTAAGAATGTGGTATTTATCTTGAGCGTCGCTGGCGGATCTCCTGTCTCTGCCTCTTGACACTAAGCATTTCGGTTGTCCACATTTCTGGGGCATTTGATTTAATACAACCGGACCGCCTCGTTAAATATTACATCGGCAACGCCCTTTATTCGTATTTCAAGATGGCAGCCGAAGACCTTATCACTCTCAAATACTTAGATCGTATTGCGATCATCACATTCAATCGCCCCGAGAAGCTGAACGCCCTCAATGCAGACCTCTACTATCTGCTTGGTGAGCGGTTACGGGAAATTGAGAAGCGAGATGATATTTTCATCACCATCCTGACAGGAACCGGCCGTTACTTCTCCGCGTAAGCCTTATCACATTTTTCTTCAGCTGCTCCTCCACCACTGACATCCCATTAGCGGAGCAGACGTGACCTCCACCCGGCCAGGCGGCGGCCTGAACAGCGACTCCCGGCGAGAGATTACCCGTACCTTCGTCGTCAACAACCTCGACCTCACCCGCACTGTCTACAACCACCCCAAGATCCTCGTCGCCGCACTCAATGGCCCAGCAGTCGGTCTCTCTGCAGCCCTCGTCGCCTTGGCCGACTTCGTATACGCCGCTCCGCACACCTTCCTCCTGACCCCATTCTCCTCCCTCGGTCTCGTCACCGAGGGCGGCGCCTCCCGCGCCTTTGTAGAGCGCTTGGGCATTGCCAAGGCCAACGAGGCGCTCATCATGAGCAAGCGGATCACCTGCGAGGAGCTGGTGGCCACCGGCTTCGTGAACAAGGTCATCTCCGCTCCGTCCGGTAAATCCGATGACTCGGAGGGCTTCCTTAAGAAGGTCCTCGAGGAGGTCGACGATCGTCTGGGTACGCATCTGAACCAGTCGAGTTTGCTCAAGATCAAAGAGCTCATTCGTCGACCGGAGCGGGAGCTGCTGGACCGTCAGAATACGTATGAGGTTTTTGCCGGCATGGAGCGGTTCGTCAAGGGGTATCCGCAAGAAGAATTTCGCAAGTTGGCCTCGGGTGAGAAGAGACATAAGCTGTAGATGCTTGGGTTTTGCATTGTAGATATGGCGACAGCATTGATTCTTGGACAATGTGATTCATTGTCAAGGAATTTGGATTTGGACATTTACCTGCGATGAATCCTACGCAATAGCGAAATTACGAAACATAGAGATCTTGCCATAACCAGCAATCATTCTCTTAAACCGAAAC